GATGTATTTTTTTAGAGTGCTGGGGATTGACTCCAGGATGTCACACGGGTTAAGCATTTGCTCACCAGACCTAGCCAATCTACCTGAGGAAAAGTTTTCAAAAGAGTAAGATTTTTCTGTTACAGCTTACTCCAGGTTTGCTGAATTCTCATTCTATTTTTCTGATGTTTCAGTGAGAGATACCTCAGTTAATGAGCAAAGTGATAGGAACATTTCACCTTAGCCTCACCAAACATTGTATAATTGTGTTAGTTGATGTACAACAGGCAGTAAATGCTGAGGTCTTCTTGAAATTAAGCATAGTGATGCAGGTGCCCTGGCAAGTTTATCACTCCTGACAATTGTAGAATCACAGGATGTACCCCTCTGGGCATCACTGTCTGAGAAGGAAATACCAGGAAGCTTTGACCACCCAATTGGAATAGATACTGTTTTCACTGTGGAAGCCTTCTTGGTCTACTTACCAATTGTAAAGAGAGATTGCATAGACACCAAGAATTTGGACGGTTGAAGTTAGGCCTCTGTTTTATCATCCGTACACAACTGAACTGGTCCTACTCTTTATTTTTTCTCTCCTTTTATTTTATCATTTTTACATTTACTTTCATGTGTATACATTGTTTGTTCCGCCTCCCCCCAACACCCCCTTACCCCCCAACCCTCTGCTTTTAGGCAGAACCAGTTCTGCCCTCTTCTCTGATTTTGTTGAAGAGAAAACGTTAGAGATAATAAGAGAGACATACCATTTTTGTTAGTTTGGGGTAAAGGTACAGACGGATTCCTAGCATTGTTTTCATGCACTTATGTATTGCAACCCACATTGACTCATTTCTACCTGACCTCTTTGCTACTTCCTGGTCCCCGTCCCATAGTGGCCTCTGCCAACTTAAGATTATTTGCTCCTCAACGGGGAGCATATCAACCACTTTTAAGTTTTAGGTTTCCTTTCTTTTCCCTGTTTCTCCCATGCATGTTCTCCCCTTAGTGTGTGACCCATGTCCAATAATATTACTGCATTTGTTTTGGGTCTATAATCTTCATATGGGGGACAGCATGCAATTTTGGCCTTCTGAGCCTGGATAACTTCGCTTAAGATGATGTTCTCCAGTTCCGTGCATTTACTTGAGAATGACAAAATTCCATTCTTCTTTGTGGCTGAGTAAAATTCCACTGTGTATAAATACCACATGTTCTTAATCCATTCATCAGTAGTGGGACATCTTGGCTGTTTACATATCTTGGCTATTGTGGATAGCACTGCAATAAACATGGATGTGAAGATGCTTTTGTATTAACTTGACTCACATTCCTTTGGGTATATCCCTAGGAGTGGTATTACTGGATCATATAGCAGATCTATGTTTAGTTTTAAAGGAGCCTCTATAATGCTTTCCAAAGTGGTTGTTCTAGCTTACATTCCCACTAGTAGTGTATAAGGGTTCCATTTTGTTTGCATCCTCAGCAGCATTTGTTGTTGTTGGTGTTCTTGATAATAGCCATCTTAACAAGGGTGAGGTGGAATCTTAGTGTGGTTTTGATTTGCATTTCCTTTATGACCAGGCATGGTGAGAATTTTTTCGTGTGTTTTTTGGCCATTTGGATTTCTTCCATACAGAAAATGTTTTTCTAAACAGAAAAAGTTCTGTTTAGTTTGATTGCCCATTTCTTTATTGTTTCATTGATTTTGGGGTAGTTTAGTTTTTTGTGCTCTCTATATATTCTGGTTATCAGTCCTTTGTCTGATGTATAGGTAGCAAATATTTTCTCCCACTCTGTGGGTGGAGTCTTCAATTTAGAGACCATTACTTTTGTTGTGCAGAAGCTTTTTAATTTCATGTAGTCTCATTTGTCCATCCTTTCACTTAGTTGCTGGGCTGATGGAGTTCCACTGAGGAAGTCCTTGCCTATTATTCCTGTCATTTCCAGGGTATTCCCTACTCTTTCATGTATGAACTGCAAGGTTTTGGATCTGCTATTAAGGATTAAACTTAATCCATTTTGAGTTGATACAAGTACAGGATGTCAGGCATGTATCTAGTTGAAATTTTCTGCAGGCAGATAGCTACTTTTCCCAGCACCATTTGTTGAAGAGGCTGTCTCTTCTCCATCGTATGTTTTTGGCACCTTTGTCAAAAGTAAGGTGGGCAGAGTTGTGTAGATTCATATTGGGTCCTCTATTCTGTTCCACTGGTCTTCATATCTGTTTTTGTGCTAGTACCATGCTGTTTTTATTGCTATGGCTCTGTAGTATAGTTTGAAGTCAGGTAGTGTGACACCTCCAGCATTGCTCTTGTTACTCAGTAGTACTTTGGCTATTCATGATCTTTTGTGTTTCCAAATGAACTTTAGGGTAGATTTTTCGATCTCTGTGATGAATGTCATTGAAATTTTGATGGGTATTGTGTTGAACATGTAGATTGCTTTTGGTAGTGTAGCCATTTTTACTATGTTGATTCTACCAATCCATGAGCATGGGAGAGCTCTCCACCTTCTGTAGTTTTCCTCAATCTCTTTCTTCAGTGGCTTTTAGTTCTCCTTGAAGAGGTCATTTACATCCTTCGTTAAGTTTACTCCTATGTTTTTAAATGCTTTTTTTTTTAGGGTATTGTAAATGGAATTGTTTTCTTGTATTCTTTCTCAATATTTGTTCATTATTCCTTTATAGAAAGTCTGCTGATTTTTGTAAGTTGATTTTGTGTCCTGCTACATTGCTGAAGCCATTTATGGTGTCTAGAAGTTTTTGGGTAGAGTTGTTTTGGATCTTTGAGGTATATGATTATGTTGTCTGCAAGTAGGGATATTTTGACTGTTTCTTTACCTATTCATACTCCTTTCATTTCTTCTTTTTGTCTTATTGCTCTGGTTAGGAATTCAAGGACTATGTTGAATTGGAGTGGAGAGAGTGGGCACTCTTGTTCCTGAGTTCAGGGGAAATGGTTTCAGTTTTTCCCCGTTAACTATGATGTTGGTTATAGGTTTATCATATGTAACCTTTATAATGTGGAGATACAATCCTTCTACTCCTAGTTTTCTTAGAGCTTTTATCATGAAGTAGTGTTGGATCTTATCAAGGCTTTTTCTGCATCTATTGAGATGATCAAGTGGTTTTTGCCTTTGCTTCTATTAATGTGCTATATTACATTTATTGGCTTGCATATGTTGAACCATCCCTCCATCACTGGGATGAAGCCAACTTGTTTGTGGTGAATGATCTTTCTGATATGTTGTTGTATTTGGTTTGCCATTATTTTATTGAGGATTTTGCATTGATATTCATTAAGGAGATTGGCCTGTAGTTCTCCTTTTCGGATGTGTCTTTGTCTGGTTTTGGGAGGAGTGTAACACTGGTTTCATAGAATGAGTTGGGCAGTGTTCTTTCCCTTTCTATTTTGGAAACATTTAAGGAGTATTGGCATTAGTTCTTCTTTGAAGTTCTGATAGAATTCAGCTAAGAATCTGTTCAGGTCCTGAACTTTTCCTTTTGGGGAAACTATTTGTTGCTGCTTCAATTTCATTTTGTGTTATAGATCTGTTTAGGTGGTTAACATCTTCTTGGTTAAGTTTTGGATGGTCATAAGTATCTAGAAATTTGTCCATTTCGTCAAGATTTTCCAATTTATTGGAATATAGGTTCTCAGAGTAGTCTCTGATGATTCCCTGGATTTCCATGGTATTTGTTGTTATCTCCTCTTTTTCATTTCTGATTTTACTGATTTGGGTTTTTTCCCACCTCATTTTAGTCACATTTCCAGGGGCTTGTCAGTCTTATTTTTTCAAGAACCAGCTTTTTGTTTCATTGGTTCTTTGCTCTCTGTTCCATTAATTTTGGCCCTTACTTTTATTATTCCTCTCCTTCTGCTTGTTTTGGGTTTTGCTTGCTCTTGCTTTTCTAGGAGTTTGAGATGTAGCATCAGGTCGTTTATTTGAGCTCTTTCTGTCCTTTTAATATATGCACCCATGGCTAAAAACTTTCCTCTTAGGACTGCCTTTGCTGTGTCCCTTAGGTTCTGGTAGGTAGTGCCTTGATTTTCATTAGTTTCTAGGAGCCTTTTTATTTCCTACTGGTCCTGCTCTTAATTCTCATTTTTCCAGTTCATTCTACTTACCATTCCACCTATAACCTTTAGAATAAGGTTCAATTATTTGTCTTCTTTGGTCTCAGCACAGGTAACATTCCCACAACTATTTTCCTCTTTCCTATTTTTTCTGAATATTCTTCACCCTCTCTCATATATTTAGCTTGTTGAAACATACTGGTGTCCACACTATGTCTATCAGTCCTTAAAGGAATCTCTCTGCTGAAGAGATGTCCCAATGCTTAACCAAGCACTTTCCAGTGCACTTACCAGACACTAAAAGGAAAGAAATGATGTGTCTTAAAGCTTTGTGTTTTGCTTTCATAATTAGACATGATTTTTTTTATCTTGAGTATTTAGCAGTGGTAATCCTTTCTTATCCCCTGGTGTGCTTTATCAAGCCTTTGGATCTCTACTTGAGATGTGTTTATTTTTTATCTGATTATATTTTAGTAGTGAGAATACTACTACTGATATCCTATGAATCAGTGATTAATTAATTGTGTGGAACTTGACTACATAGCTAGTGAGAGATTTGGAAATATTGCTCATCAGACATTAGTAACTAGTTGCTCTGTACTTGACACTGAGTTAAAAAGGTGATTGTAATGGAGGTTATTCATGAGAATCTTTTATTTCAAGAACCAGTGAAGGTTGAATGTGTCATTTTCCAAAAAGGATAAGTGGTGTTGAAATACATGAGATAAAGTGAGAGGAATCTGTGCCATTTTTGTTATACACCTAGTAACTGACGTCATTTGTGTACTAGACTTCTATTAATCCATGTATTTTTTCTTTAAGAGTTCATGCTTGTGTTCTCTCCATAATTTCATCAACCTGTGCTGAGTATATGCAATTCAGATGTTAAATTTTGAGAACTCATTTGAAGTGGAACAATAAATCATTATGCTTTTGTGTTTACAGTGGGATCATGAAGCCTGGCCTCAATGCTATCATGGGACCCCCAGGTGGAGGCAAATCATTGTGAGTATAACAGAAAGCTTAAGTGAACCTTTCTGTGCAGATATAGTGTACATTTATTTATTTATTTATTGTGAGACTGGGGTTTGAACTCAGGACTTCACATTTGCAAAGCAGGCATTCTGCTACTCTAGGCAGAGTAGACACTGGTCTCTAGTGTCCAGCAAACTATTTGATCCGCTGGCCTCAAACCACAATCCTCTTGATGTCAGTCCTCCCAAGTAGCTAGGATTGTAGGCATGAGTCACTGACACCTGGCTTCAGGGTGCTTTTGAATATTGCTTTTACATGAGCAAGTGATAGGTGTGTACAGACTGGTCATAGATGGTGTGGATGACGTGCCTTTTGGCTAGCATGTGGTTTTGTCCCAAGGACCAGAAAGCCTTATTGGTCAGCTTTACTAACTAGAGAAGATAAAGTGAGTGGTGTACAGTGTTGGGCCATATTAGGAGCTAATGGGTATGGAGAAGAAGGAGATATTAAAAGTAGGGAGATGAAGCAGAAGGTCTAGAGATGGTGTAAGTTTTAAATAAACTAACACACTGTGTGGGTTGGGTTCACCAACATTTATATATATAAAAACAAATGTTATATATATATACATATAATTTTCTAATTGTACATGCAATTAGGCTTATAAATGTAAATGTATTTATATATTTAACTTTATAATAATATATAATTTTAGTTAAGCCATAGATCTCTTAAGTTGTGTTAAGCCATACATTTTTTAACCATTTTTTTGAAGCAGCTCTTGCGACTTAGCCCAGGCTCCCTTCAAATTCATGACCTTTCTGCCTCAGCTTCCAAATGCTGCATTTACTGTCATGCGCCACTGTGCCTAGGTCATAACTTCTTGACTAGTTAATAATCCAACATAGGCAGAGTTTGGATTTGGGCAGCTGGAGTATAAGGAATGTGTTAAAAGATAAAACCCCATAATAATATATGTCCTTTCATAGGTTGTTAGATGTCTTAGCTGCAAGGAAAGATCCACATGGATTGTCTGGAGATGTCTTGATAAATGGAGCACCTCGACCTGCCAATTTCAGAAGTATTTCAGGTTATGTGTTACAAGTGAGTTTTACTTTAGTTTCATTTTAGGTTACCTCTGACACCTGGGCAAGTGTAGGCAAGTGAGTTGGATTGTAGTTAATTAGGTGACAAGCTCACAGGACCGAGTTTCTCTATACCAGTTTCATAATCTCTCCTTTCGTGAGGGCGATGTTAAATAGAAAGGTGGAGGATCTGGACTATGACCCTTATAGGATAGTTGTAGTAATTCTAGTTGTTAATCATTCCAAAATGTACAACTGTTGTCCTTCCTTCACCTTTCTCCTCCCCCTAGATGTCTTTGGCAAATTCTTGTACAATGGAGTGTAGAAATGTTAGTAGAATTCGTCACAGTTACCTGTTCTCTGCTTGACTGTGCATATAGAGGTAAAATGATTCTTTTGGGATCTGCAGATATCCGTATGTGGAGTTTCTGTACTTTTAGAGTTAAAAAGTTCACTATTAGGTAGAACTGTAGTTATTTTTATGGGTTAAATAACATATACTAGAGTGATAGGAATGGACATAAAAGAGCCTTGATATGTCTCACTGAAGTTCCATTTTGCCTTAAGGAAGATGTCGTGATGGACAGCCTGACAGTGAGAGAAAATTTACAGTTCTCAGCAGCTCTTCGGCTTCCAACAACAATGACGAATGCTGAAAAAAATGAACGAATTAACATGGTTATTAAAGAGTTAGGTCTGGATGCAGTGGCAGACTTCAAGGTAATGTGATAAAACAAACTGTAGAATCACAGGCAGGAAAGAGGAACCCTTAGACCTCCCCCTTGTGGAAATCATGACCTTAATCAGAAGTTTCCTATAATGTATTTGGAGAACGTGAGTGCTTTCTGTAATGATGAGAAAACTTGACAAGTTCCTTAATAGGAAGGTAGAAATTCAGCTAGAAATACTGCAAAATAGTTGAACCTTGGGCATGGAGTCTGGTCTTGTAAAAGCCCTCCCAACATGGCCTCTTCCACAGGATCCTTACCTACCCTCGCTGTTCAAGTCATGGCTCACTTGACCGGTGTTCTGGCCCTCACCTTTTTCTTCTTGTTTTTCTCTTTTCCTTTTTAGCTGCTCTTCTTCCTCTCTTTCTCCAGTAGACTTTTCCACTGTTTTTCTAAGGTACATTTCTGAAATTACAAAGTAACAAGAACCCAAGGACTCTTGTTCTGTATGTTTCACTTTGCTGTAATTATCCTTCCAAAATTATATTTGCCCCCATTAGGATTTACTTATTTGTGCAGTGCTCAGTTATTTTTCTCTGGACTTTCTTTTTGTAGTTTTGTCTCTCATCCCTTCCCTGCTGCTTTCCATTCTTTCCTTTCTTTTGTCACTATTTATTTCCAGACTCTTATCTGCCAGTCTCTGTTACACTTTAGAGACAGGATTATGGGCAAAAGAAATATAGTGGATGAAATAGCTCCTCCTTCTGTGGTTGCTCCCAATCAAGGAGAGGAATTGAGGTGAGTGAGTCAACTTTCAGTTGACCAGCACTATGGAGGTTTTGCTGAGTAGATGTTGGAGCATTTGGTAAAAATGAACCATTTAGAATGAAATGCCTATGGAGTAACCCCTGTGATTCCCACCGTAGGTCATGAAGAATGCGCCTTCTACTGGCTGCTGCTGCCATGGTACTTGCAACAGTCTTCATGTGAAGAATATTTTGTCAGCAATAGTCCTGAGATATCACCATTTACCACTCATTTTTTATTTCTGAGTGGTTGAGTTCTCTTTGCTTTGGCTTTACCTGTCTCCTTGATTTTGTTTTTCCCATTGGGAAAACAATTTCACTCTTTCATTAGTCATTCCCCTAAGTTGCCTTCTTAGATTTTCATGGAAAACATGAAAATCTTCATGTCTTAGAATTCATGCAATCTAATTAATTGGAACAATTTCAATATTTTTACTTTTTATGATATTCCAAATGAAACAGAAATATAGTCTGATTACTATAATTATGTGATTGTCAGACTGTAAGTATAATTGTGTAATTACTAGTACTCTTCACCTAGAATTCTCAGTTGTTAAATTCTTATCCAGTTTCTATAGCTACTTGTTACTGAAGTGTTTTAAAGAAAGTCATAAAATATTTCACCCTGAAAACCTACTATTCATCTATAAAAGAAGCTCATTTGCCTACCTTGCCAATAATACCATTATAACTAACAAAAGACCAGCATTTTCATATCATCAGCATGTAAAGCCCATATTCATTCATATTCTCCAAATTGTCTGCAAGTGTCCTTCTAGTTCATTTCCCACTTCCTGCCTCCCTTAAACCTCTCTACCTCCCTCAGCACACCAGTGACATCCACTAGTTGGAAAGATTGAGCCATTTGCTCTGTGGAACATCCCACCTTCTGGATTTGTCTGAAAGGAGGAATCAGAAATTCTGTTTTCAGTTGGTGTATAGATAGAATCAATTTGGAAAGCCTTACAGAAATTGAAAAGGTGCGAATATTTTGTGGCAGTACTCAAACTTTCTTGGCACCAAGTCTACTAGGGGATATTTTGTGGTGTTTAGGGAGTATTGTTATAAGACTATAAAATAATAATTTACTATAGATGCTTTCCTGTTTCTGCTCCTGTCTTTTCCTTCTTTCTTTTGCTTTTCTTTTTATTTTGAGGCAGGCTCTCACTGTACAGTCCAGGCTTGCCTTGATCTCATGATCCTCCTACCTCAGTCTCCTTAGTGAAGGCAATATAGGCATGTACCATCACGCCTGGGTTCATTTTATCTTTATCTCCTATTTTACAGTACAATTTCACTATGTCAAGGTTTTGTAGGTTTCTAATGTCATAATGGGAACCTAAATACCTGACTTGACAGGGAACATAGAGAACTGTTTAAAGTATGGGCTTCATATCAGATTTCACTACTTAGTAGTTCTCATTTGCGCTTCCGTTTACTCATCTGGCAAAGAAGACTTCTTCTTCTTCCATGTGTCCACTTTTATGTTGTGCTGAATAATAAGGAGAATGAGAAAAAGTATCTCTTTCAGGGTTGCCACACCTTATTTTACTAAATAATAGTGACCATGGTTGTACTTACCAATAATGATAATAAGATATCTTTCAGGTTCGTGCTAGTAGAGAAAGAAAAAGGACTATGATAGGAATGGAGCTGATCACTGATCATCCCATCTTGTTCCTGGATGAACCCACAACTGGTTTAGACTCAAGCACAGCAAGTACTGTCCTTTGGATCCTGAAAAAGTAAATACTTTGGGAAATTTTTTGTTTCATTTATTAAATATCTGGTTTCTTGTATGTACCAGGTATTCTGGTGTGGTAAATTCAGAAGTGAACAACAGATTCTCTTTCTTATTTGCTAAAGGGAAATAGTCAATTAAAGAAAAAGTATTATCAAGAAAGATGATACAAAAATCCAGGTGCTGATGGCACACCTGTAATCCTAGCTATTCGAGAGTGAGAGATCAGGAGGAACAATGTTATAGACCAGCCCGTGCAGATAGTTTCTGAAACCCTATCTTGAAAATACCCAACACATGGGCTGGCAGAGTGGCTCAAGTGGTAGAATGCCCGCCTAGGGAAGGATCAAGCTCTGAGATCAACCCCAGTATCACCAATAAAATAAACTAATTAAAACATTAAAAGAAACATGATACAAAAACATAGAAAAAGATGGCTGTGGTCCAGTGTGGTCCTGTTCTAAACAAGAAGGTCAGGAAAGACCTCAAGCATGTGACAAGTGAGCTGGGAGTGAGTGAGCGAGTGGGACCTGCTTATTGTGGTGGAAGAGAGTTCTAGTTGGAAGGGATAGCCAGTGACTCCACGGCGGAGAATACCTAGTATGTCGGGAATATTAAAGACAGCAGAGGGACTAGAATCCAGTGACCTAAAAGAATGGAAGTTTGTCACGTTCTCTCAGAACAATGCACCACAGATAGTGTGGGGTTATTGTTATAAGACTAATAAATAATAATTTACCATAGATACCTGAAGATACTATTGATAACAGAAATAAATACTTTTTTACTGCTCTGGAGGCCAGTAGTGTGAGATCAAGGTGTCAGCATGTTTGTTTCTGCTGAGGCCTCTCTCATTGACTTGGAGATGACAGTCTTCTCCCCCTGTGTGGCTCTGTGTCCTAATCTCCTCTTAAATGGACCCCAGCCAGATTAGAACCCACTCACTGGCCTTGGTTAATCTCAGTCACCTCTCTGACAACTCTGTCTCCAAGTGCTGTCACTTCCTGAGAGATTGGAGTTAGCACTTCAGCATATGAGCTTTGGGAGGTCACAGTTCATCACATCTTAGTTACAATTGATGTGAGGTGTAGTGGAGCTGGTGGCAGATTACGTAGATGTAGTAAGCCACTGTGAGAAGTATGACTTTTCCTGTCACTGGGGACATAGGAAGCTTTTTGAGAGTTGTAGAGTAATGGCAGCTGTGGAGAAGACTGTTCAGTTGGACCATGGAGAGGCAAAGATGCCAGGAAGGAGGAGGATGAGGGATGATGGTGTCTTAACTAAGATGGTCATGGGGAGAGGTGGGTTGGGTTCTGGATCTGTTTTGAAGATAGAACCAATGGGATTAGACCAGAAATTGGACCTAGGATGTGATGACTGAGAGAATGACTGCCAAGATTTGGGGCCTGACTATAGGGAAGAATGAAGTCAAAGAAATGGCATTTCCTTTTATCAAGAAAGAAGACCATGGCAGAAATGTTTGGAGGAAAAGTTCCAAAAGTTACGTTTTGAGCATCTTCTATAGAATTAATAAAAACTAATTTCAAACCAACAGAAAAGTGCCAAGAAGAGTAGAGAGAAAGCCCCATTCCCTCAACCTGATTCCCACTGTCCATTTCACTGCATTGCTGCCCCATCCTCCTCTCTGTGCCAGACACACCTTCTCCATGTATCCCCTCTCTCTCACTGCCTTGTTTCCTTTAACTGCATGCTGTTATGAGCACGTGCATGCTAGGAAAGAAGAAAAGGAAAGGTGGGAAGATGTCTAAAGGTTTCAAGATTGTAAATTTGACATGTCAACTGCACATATAGTGAAAATGCCAAGTTATTGGTTTGGAGTTCAGGTCCCATGGCAGAGCATATTCATGGCATTTTTGTAATCTATAATGCTGTTAACTGTGTTCTTTAGGTACTGATGAGTTGATATAGAATACCATAATTACTTATGATTTTCTCTGTGTAATACATAATCATTTCACTGTGTAGCCCATGCTGACCTTGAACATTCAATCCTTCCTATCTGCCTCCTGAGTGCTAGGATTAGGATTAGGCAGTGTACAACCATATCTCATTATTTTAATAGCAGTTTTGTATAGTGACTTTGTTTCTGATAAGGGCTGATTCCTGTAAAAAGGTAGTTTATCACTCTTTCTGTCATGGAATCAGACCAGAGATCAAACACGGATTTGCTTCTCATTAACTGTGACCTTTTGTCCAGTTGCTTAACCTTGTTAGCCTTATCTATAAAAGAAATGATAATATCAGAACCATCTTATAAAAATACTGTGAAAATTGAAATGAAGCTTTCTTGAAATGATTTGCAATGACTTAGTAAATATTAATTGTATTACAAGGCAGAAGAATGAAAAACAGTTCCTAAAGGCCAGAAGACATAAATGATCAATGACAACTGGGCATTTGACCATTGCTTTAATATTTAGTCCATCATTCCTAAACTTGAGTGCACTTATAGATTACCTGGCATGCTTGTTAATCGTATGGACTCCCCGAATCCACCCACAGAGATTCTAGTTCAATATCTTGGAAGATGGACCAGGAATCTGCTTGTGAAAAACATTCTGGTGGATTCTAATCTGTCAATGAAACATCTTTAAAGAAGTCTTAATGTTTTTAGTAAAAAGCATTGCATTTAGGCTCCCCAACTATTAAGTGGAGAATATGAGATCAGCTGAGACATTTGTATGAGAAAATCAAGTTGAACAGGGAGCAAATGATATAATGGCAGCAATAAAGTGTTTTACCACGAAATATGAAGTTCAGATGTTTTAATGACTTATTGTTTTCCCTCTTTTAACTTAGGAAGGCTAAGCAGGGATGTACAATCATCTTCTCCATTCACCAGCCTCAGTATTCCATCTTCAGGTTGTTTGACAGCCTCACTTTAGTGGCCTCAGGAAAACTAATGTTCCATGGGCCTGCACAGGAGGCCTTGGGATACTTTGAATCAGCAGGTATGGTTGACTTTCATGTTGTTGGTGCTTTATTCATAGATTCCTGGAATAGAGCAGAGGGGTCAGTGGTTGTGATATTTGATGTTTGCATAGATGTACCTTGGCTTCCACTATGCTAAAACACCTTTGGTGAAAAACAGGTCACGGTAAAGAGAGGTCACAAAGGAGAAAGGGATCATAAAAGAAGGAAGTTAAGAAGGTGAATATGGTTGATGTACTTCCTATATAAAAATGAGTATAGAATTTTTTTAAACCTGTTGAAATCACCATAAGAAGGAAACTAAGGTAAAAAGGAGAAAAATAGAGGCATGGACCAATTTGGATTATAATACATATATACACAGAAATGTCACAATGAAATGCCTTGCATAGCTATCTTAAAGGAACAAAAATATCATTTTTTTTCAAAATCAGAGAATAGGAGGGCAGAACAGTTTTTGTCTGGGGGATTAGTAATGGTGGGAGCAGGATGTGGGTGGGTGAATATGGTGCAAATACTGTGTACGTGTGTATATAAATGGAAAAAGGAGACCTGCATAAACTATTCCAGGAAAGGGGCCAGAGGAGGATAAAGGAGGATAATGGAGGGGGTGAAGTCAGCTATGATATATTTGGTATATTCTAAGAACTCTTGTAAATGCCACAGTGTTCCCCCAGCGCAACAATAAAAAAATTACAAATAAATTACAAAAATTAAATAAAACATCTTTTGTTAGTTTGGTGTGAGAATTTTGTTCTTTTTGGAGAACTTGCTGTTGTTTAGGTCTCTTTCCACGTCCTGTCCTATTTCAGTATTCATGCATGTGTCCAAGTGTTTCTACTGGGCCCTTGTGTCTTTGGTGTCCAGTTATGGTGACCTTCCCTGAAAACTCAGAAATAAACAGAATTTACAGCAAGGTATTCTGTCATTTAAATAGTTTTGGAAAGATCCAGTCTCTCTGTCTTTCTCACCATATAAGGGAGTGGGTTTTCCACTTTCCCTGGCTTGTGATCTTGCTCTCCCTTGATTATCATCATGGAGAGGCCACTTAATGTTCTAGTGACGTTAGATTGAAGATTTAGTCTATGAATAGGTGCAGTGACCTGTTAGTCAATATGATGTTCAGGCCTAAATCTGACTTTGATTGATCACCATTTCTGGAGGCCAGGTTCTTTCTATTTCAGATTGTATTATGTGATTTTTTTCAAATGTCTCATATACTCTGGGTCATTTTAGAGATACTTGGATATGATTAAAGATGTTTTTCTGTGACTCCAAATACAGTTTGAATGTTCACTTTCTTTCTTAATTTGTTTCTGTTTAATCTCTGTCATTTAAAAATATTCAAGCATAAATGAGTCTGGGAAGTCCAGGTAAGATGATCTGAAGAGTCAGAGGTCAGGACAAGTTCAGATGATTGTACCCTAAGAAGCTGAGGTCAGAGTTCAGATGTGCCCTGGTGGCTGCTCTGGGGATGTGTTCTCCATTTGGGATTATGGCATCTTGACAGGTGATAATTGCAACCTTTGAACTGAAGTCAAGAAGCGTTCATTTTTAAATTTTTAAAAATTTATTTTTAATTATCATGCATTAATAAAATAAGACCATTTCATTGTGATAATTCCATAGGTACATATGGTATACCTTGAACAAGTTCACCCTCTCCATTATATTCCCATTCTCCCCTTTTCCAATCAGTGGAGAAGCAATCACTGTTGGCATGTGCACTGCTGTTGCAGCATCCCTTAGGTGGAGTTGCAGAGCACAAGGAACCCGCACAGTGAATGCGTTTTTTTCTTAGACCTAGCTTTGGGTTTATGAAGAAGCACTGAGAAGCACCAGAGCTTCAGTAGCTGTTTTGGGTTTCATGATTATGTATGATGCGTAAAGACATGTGTATGATGTTCTGAAGAATGTAACATTGGTGTTGTGTATCTTCCTTTTTTGCTGGGAGACAGTGGTTGAAATATTGTGTGGATCAGTATATAAAAAGAAAGATATAGTAGTAAGAGGAGAGAGAACAAGAAAAAGAGGAGACCTTGTTAGAATGTGTCTTCTGTAGCCTCATCTCTCTCACCCTCTGAAAAGTGAGTCCTTTTTATTTTGCCAGACCATCAGGTCTGTGACCTTGGGTTGCTTTCTTCAGTAGGTTATCAGTGTGGCACCCACAACAACCCTGCAGACTTCTTCCTGGATGTGATTAATGGAGACTTCTCTGGTGTGGCATCAAACAGAGAGGAAGAAGACTTTGAAGGTATGTGAATCTCTTAGCTCACAGATTTTTGGCTAGTTGATTTTTCTGAAGTTCAGCAGTGTGCTTTTTCATTAAGAAATGGCTGTGTGAATTTACATCAATGCACCGTTCTGATACTGGTGGACAGATAGACTATTGTCCCTAAGTGCTGTGGATGTTTTGATTTAAATGAACAATATAAATATATGGTAATATTAGTTGTAAGGTGAGTGTCATTAAAAAATCATATGCTCATTATTTATTGTAATTTTCTTTCTTGTATTATGGTGGGCCTGGGGTTTGAACTCAGGACTTTGCACTTGCCAAACAGATGTTTTACCATTTGAGCATAGCTCAGTTCATTTTGCTCTGGTTGTTTTGGAGGTGCAGTCTCATGTACTATTTTGCCTGGGCTTCCCTTGAACTGAGATTCTCTTGCACTCAGTCTTACAAGTATCTAGGAATACAGGTGTGAGAGCCACAAGTGCCCAGCTTTTCTTTTGATTTCTTGAGACACAGTTTGGCTATGTATCCCAGGCTGGCTTTAACCTCATGATCTTTCTGCCTCTGATATCCCGAGTGCTGAGATTACAGCCATGTACCGCAAACCATGCTTTGTTTATAATATTTTTAAAATAAGAACTGACACTGTGCAATTGCACATGGTAGAAAGCTAGCACAAGATTTAAAAATAATTTTTTATTAGGAGATATTTCTCTTAAAGGGAGATGCATTGTGACCTTTCTGAATAGGTTTACATTATGCATTGGTTAGATTGCCACCCCTATCTCTCTCCCTCAACCCCCTTCCATCCCACTTTAAGCAGTCGCAAGAGGTTTCATTGTTCTGTTTTGTATAAGTATATGGAGTCCATCAATCATATTCCTTCATCTTAATCTCCTTTGTTCACCCTCCCCATCCCACAAATGTCCCCTATAAACGGTTACTATTTTACTGTCCTGTCTTTCATTATTAGTTTCTAAGTTGCTGTTCAAAGGGACTTCTCAGTGTATCTCCACTGTGAGTATACTTTACTTTGGTCATTTCAATCCCTTCCATTGCTCTCTCTTACCCCTTCCCCACCATGCCCCATTTTTCAACAGCTTTCCTTTTTTTTATAAAATAATTTTTATTTTGATATGTTAAATTATGCATAGTAAGGGTTTGATTGTGACATTTCCAAACATGCTTATAATGTGTTTTGGTCATATCAACTCCCTCTATTACTCTTTGTTATTCCCTCTTTTCCTTCTCTCTTTCCCCTTCCTTTTCTACCTCCCTAGTAGTGCCAGTTTTACTTTCATAACATTAGGGTTTTTTGTTTTGTTTTCCCCTAGCTTCTACAAATGTGTACTTGTCTTTGGGGACTGGTTTATTTCACTTAACATGAAGTGTTCTATCCATTTTTCAGCAAACAACATCATTTAATTCTTTTTAATGGCTAAATAGAGCTCCATCATATATATACACCACATTTCCTTTATCCATGCATCTGTTGATGGGCATCTAGGCTGGTCCCATAATTTGGATATTGTGAATCATGCTCTGATACACATGGGTATATAGTTATCTTTAGATTGAGCTGATTTTGATTCCTTTGGGTATATAACCCAGAAGTATTATGACTGGATCATATGATAAGGTTTATTTTTAACTTTTTGAGTGACTTCCATGCACAGTTTGTAAATCAATTTTTGATGGTAATTTAGCAAAAGCTTTAAATTACTTACGATATTACTCCTAGTAATTTTGGTTATGGATATTTATCTCAGGAAATAATTCTAGATACAAGCTGAATTCTGTACCTATATATGCTTTATAACTTTATATATAATACTGAAAAACATGCCTTATATCCTCTACCTTCACAGATGTTAAGTATTACAGTATTGTTAAAGTTCTCATTCCCTTTTCCTTTTCCTCCTTCCCCAAGTTCCATAGTGTAGTTCCACTGTTACATACATGTTCTACAGTAGGTTTATATACGATTTTTTGTGTGTCTATGTTCATCTTTTGAATCTATCTTCCACATATGAGAGAAAACCTGTGACCTTTGTCTTTCTGAATCTGACCTATTTCACTTACCATGTTGTCCTCAAATTGCATCCATTTACCCTCAGGCCACATGATGTCATTCTTCTTTAGGGCTGAGTAAAACTCCATTTTATATGTACATATAAACATACCACATTTTCTTGATCCATTTGTCAGTGGTAGGACATCTGGAATGTTTTCATAGCTTGCCTGTTATGAACTGTGCTGCAGTAAACATCGTTATGCAGGTGTCTCTATTGTATCCTGATTTGTGTTCCTTTGGATAGATGCCCAGGAGTGGTATTACTGGGTCATGTGGCAGTTCTATTTTTAACTTTTTGAGGAATATGCCTGTTGCTTTCTATAACAGTTGTACTAATTTGTATTCTCACCAACAGTATAAAAGTGTTCCTGTTTCACCACATCCTCATCAGTATTTGTTGTTTTTGCTCTTGAAGATGGCCATTCTAACTGGGGTGAGATGAAATCTTAGTGTAGTTTTGATTTGCATTTCTTTTATAGCCAAGGAAACGGAACAATTCTTCATGCATTTATTGGCCATTTCTCTTCCTTTGAGAATTCCCTACTCAATTCATGTGCGCATTTCTTCATAGAGATGTTGATTCTTTGGGGATTGAGTTTTTGAGTTCCCTGCAGATTCTGGATATTAGTACTTTATCAGATAAATAGCTGGCAAAGATTTTTTCACATTCTGTGGGCTGTCTCTTAAGTCCAGTGACTGTTTCTTTTGCCATGCAGAAGCTCTTCAGTTTGATGCAGTCCCATTTGTTCATCTTTTCACTTAGATGCTGAACATTTGGAGTTCTATTTAGGAAGTAATTCCTTATGCCTGTATACTTCCTGTAGTTGGTTCAAATTTTCAGGCCTTATATTACGGTCTTTGGTCCACTTTGAGTTGATATTGATACAGAGTGAGAGACAGGGGTCTAGTTTCAGTCCTCTTCATGTGGCTATCCAGTTTTCCCAGCAACATTTGTTGAAGAGGCTGTCTTTTCTCCATAGTGTGCTTTGGCCTCCTTTGTTGATAATCAGTTGGCTATAGCTGCATGAGTTTATGTCTGGGTCTTCTATTCTAACCCATTGTTCTTCATTTTGGTTTTTGTGCCAATACCATGCTGTTTTCATCGTTATGGCTGTGTAGTTGCTTTGAAGTTGGGGATTGTGATACCTCCAGTATTGGACTTTTTGCTCAGAATTGTTTGGTTATTTGAAGTCTTTTGTGTTTCCATATGCATTTTAAAATTGATTTTTCTATTTCTGTGAAGAATCTCATTGGGATTTTGATAGGGATTGCATTGAGCATTTAGATGGCTTTTGGTAGTACAACAATTTTCACAATGTTGATTCTGCCAATCCACAAACATGGAAGGCTTTCCATCTTCTGATGTCTTCTTCAATTTCTCTCTTCGGTGGTTTATAGTTTTCATTGAAAAAATCTTTTATTTCTATCATTAAATTTATTCCTATGTATTTTACTTTGGCGGGGGGCGCTATCTTAAGTGAGATTGTTTCCCTGATTCTTTCTCAGTCTGTTCTTTATTAGTATGCAGGAAGACTACTGATTTCTGTATATTAATTTTGTATCCTGCTACTTTTCCAAAAGAATATATGATTTCTAAGAGTTTTTTCCTGGAGTTTTTAGAGTCATTTAGGTATAGGGTCATGGCATCTGCAAATGAGAACAGTTTGATTTCTTCCTTCCTTATTTGAATCCCCTTTTTTTCTTGTTCTTGTCTTAGTTCTCTAGCTAGGAATTCCAAAACTATATTAAATAGGAGTGAGGAAATTAGGTATCCTTGTCTTGTTCCTGACTTTGGTGGTAATGGTTTCAGTTGTTCTCCATTTAATATAATGTGAGCTGGTTGGTTTGTTGTATAACCTTTATTATGTTGAGGAACATTCCTTCTATTCCTATTTTCTTTAGTGCTTTTATCATGAAATGGTGCTGAATTTGGTAAAGACTTTTTTCTAAATGTGCAAGACTTTTATATTTAGAATTATAACGTTATATGTTATGAAGTCTATTTTAAGAATTAGGGTCCAAATGTTATGAAGAGTGCATTGTATTTACTTTATGCATGGATTACTCCAGCTTTCAGGTCAATTAGCTGTGTTTTTATTCATGTAAAACAACAGCAAAGCAGTAATTACTTTGTAGATGATATTTAGAATGTGGTGTTATTTAAAAAGCAAGTTGCAGAAAAAAGTGTTAAATCAGTTGTCACTTGTTGATAGTGTTTCCCTTCTTTATCCATTTTCATTCTAAAGCCAATGAAACTGAAGAATTTGTCAAGACAAAAAAGCCTGTTATAGGACAATTAGTTGAGTTTTATATCAACTCCTCCTTCTATAGAGAAACCAAAACCAAATTAGACAAACTGTCAGGTGTTCATGAAGCGAAGAGCTTGGCCTTCAAGGAGATCACCTATGTCACCTCCTTCTGTGATCAGCTCAGATGGATTATCTGGCGTTCATTCAAAAACTACCTGGGATTTCCCCAAGTCACTTTTATTCAGGTAACTGCATGATTTTTTTTTATAGTTTTATTATTCATATGTGCATACAAGGCTTGGGTCATTTCTTCCCCCTGCCCCCACCCCCTCCCTTACCACCCACTCCACCCCCTCCCTCATCCCCCACCCCTCAATACCCAGCAGAAACTATTTTGCCCTTGTCTCTAATTTTGTTGAAGAGAGAATATAAGCAATAATAGAAAGGAACAAGTGTTTTTGCTGGTTGAGATAAGGCTAGCTATACAGGGAGTTGACTCACATTAATTTCCTGTGCGTGTGTGTTACCTTCTAGGTTAATTCATTTTGATCTAACCTTTTCTCTAGTACCTGTTCCCCTTTTCCTATTGGCCTCAGTTGCTTTAAGGTATCTGCTTTAGTTTCTCTGCGTTAAGGGCAACAAATGCTAGCTAATTTTTTAGGTGTCTTACCTATCCTCACCCCTCCCTTGTATGCTCTCGCTTTTATGATGTGCTCAAAGTCCAGTCCCCTTGTTGTGTTTGTCCTTGATCTAATGTCCGCATATGAGGGAGAACATACGATTTTTGGTCTTTTGGGCCAGGCTAACCTAACTCAGAATGATGTTCTCCAATTCCATCCATTTACCACGAATGATAACATTTCGTTCTTCTTCATGGCTGCATAAAATTCCATTGTGTATAGATACCACATTTTCTTAATCCATTCGTCAGTGGTGGGGCATCTTGGCTGTTTCCATAACTTGGCTATTGTGAATAGTGCTGCAATAAACATGGGTGTGCAGGTGCCTCTGGAGTAACCTGTGTCACAGTCTTTTGGGTATATCCCCAAGAGTGGTATTGCTGGATCAAATGGTAGATCAATGTTTAGCTTTTTAAGTAGCCTCCAAATTTTTTTCCAGAGTGGTTGTACTAGTTACATTCCCACCAACAGTGTAAGAGGGTTCCTTTTTCCCCACATCCTCGCCAACACCTGTTGTTGTGGTGTTGCTATGATGGCTATTCTAACAGGGGTGACGTAGAATCTTAGTGTGGTTTTAATTTGCATTTCCTTTATTGCTAGAGATGGTGAGCCTTTTTTCATGGGTTTTTTGGCCATTTGAATTTCTTCTTTTGAGAAAGTTCTGTTTAGTTCACTTGCCCATTTCTTTATTGGCTCATTAGTTTTGGGAGAATTTAGTTTTTTAAGTTCCCTATATATTCTGGTTATCAGTCCTTTTTCTGATGTGTAGCTGGCAAATATTTTCTCCCACTCTGTGGGTGTTCTCTTCAGTTTAGAGACCATTTCTTTTGAGCATAAGCTTTTTAGTTTTATGAGGTCCCATTTATCTATGCTATCTCTTAGTTGCTGTGCTGCTGGGGTTTCATTGAGAAAGTTCTTACCTATACCTACTAACTCCAGAGTATTTCCTACTCTTTTTCTGTATCAACTTTAGAGTTTGGGTCTGATATTAAGATCCTTGATCCATTTTGAGTTAATCTTGGTATAGGGTGATATACATGGATCTAGTTTCAGTTTTTTGCAGACTGCTAACCAGTTTTCCCAGCAGTTTTTGTTGAAGAGGCTGCTATTTCTCCATCGTATATTTTTAGCTCCTTTGTCAAAGATAAGTTGCTTATAGTTGTGTGGCTTCATATCTGGGTCCTCTATTCTGTTGCACTGGTCTTCATGTCTGTTTTTGTGCCAGTACCATGCTGTTTTTATTGTTATTGCTTTGTAATATAGTTTGAAGTCAGGTATTGTGATACCTCAGCATTGTTCTTTTGACTGAGTATTGCCTTGGCTATTCGTGGCCTCTTGTGTTTCCATATAAATTTACAGTAGATTTTTCAATCTCTTTAATGAATGTCATTGGAATTTTGATGGGAATTGCATTAAACATGTAGATTACTTTTGGGAGTATCGACATTTTTACTATGTTGATTCTACCAATCCATGAGCATGGGAGATCTCTCCACTTTCTATAGTCTTCCTCAATCTCTTTCTTCAGAAGTGTATAGTTTTCCTTGTAGAGGTCTTTCACATCTTTTGTTAGGTTTACACCTAGGTATTTGATTTTTTTTGAGGCTATTGTAAATGGAATTGTTTTCATACATTCTTTTTCAGTTTGCTCATTGTTAGTGTATAGAAATGCTAATGATTTTTCTATGTTGATTTTATATCCTGCTACCTTGCTATAGCTATTGATGATGTCTAGAAGCTTCTGAGTAGAGTTTTTTGGGTCTTTAAGGTATAGGATCATGTCATCTGCAAATAGGGATATTTTGACAGTTTCTTTACCTATTTGTATTCCTTTTATTCCTTCTTCTTGCCTAATTGCTCTGGCTAGGAATTCCAGTACTATGTTGAATAGGAGTGGAGATAGTGGGCATCCTTGTCTGGTTCCTGATTTTAGAGGGAATGGTTTCAGTTTTTCTCCATTAAGTATAATGCTGGCTGTAGGTTTGTCATATATAGCTTTTATAATGTTGACGTACATTCCTTCTATTCCTAGTTTTCTTAGAGCTTTTATCATGAAATGGTGTTGGATCTTATCAAAGGCTTTTTCTGCATCTATTGAGATGATCAAGTGGTTTTTGTCTGTGCTTCTGTTAATGTGGTTTATTACGTTTATTGATTTTCATATGTTGAACCACCCCTGCATTCCTGGGATGAAGCCTACTTGGTCGTGGTGAATGATCTTTTTGATGTGTTGTTGGATTCGGTTTGCCATTATTTTATTGAGGATTTTTGCATCAGTATTCAGTATTAGATTGGCCTATAGTTCTCCTTTTTGGAAGTGTCTTTGCCTGGTTTTGGGATAAGTGTAATACTGGCTTCATAAAAGGTGTTTGGCAGTTTTCCTTCCCTTTCTATTTTGTGGAACAGTTTAAGGAGGGTTGGTATCAGTTCTTCTTTAAAGGTATGATAGAATTCAGCAGAGAATCCATCAGGTCCTGGACTTTTCCTTTTGGGGAGACTCTTGATTGCTGCTTCAATTTCATTTTGTGTTATAGATCTATTCAGGTGATTAATTTCCTCTTGGTTCAGTTTTGGATGATCATATGTATATAGAAATCTGTCCATTTCTTTAAGATTTTCAAATTTATTTGAATATAGGTTCTCAAAGTAGTCTCTGATGATTTCCTGGACTTCCATGGTGTTTGTTGTTATCTCCCCTTTTGCATTCCTGATTCTACTAATTTGGGTTTTTTCTCTCCTCATTTTAGTCAGGTTTGCCAGGGGTCTATCGATCTTGTTTATTTTTTCAAAGAACCAACTTTTTGTTTCATTAATTCTTTGTATGGTTTTTTTGGTTTCTATTTTGTTGATTTTAGCTCTTATTTTTATTATTTCTTTCCTTCTATTTGTTTTGGAATTTGCTTGTTCTTGTTTTTCTAGGAATTTGATATGTATCATTAGGTCATTGATTTTTCAGTCTTTTTAATGTATGCACTCATGGCTGTAAACTTTCCTCTCAGGACTGTCTTTGCTGTGTCCCATAGGTTCCTGTAGGTTGTGTTTTCATTTTCATTGACTTCCAGGAACTTTTTAATTTCCTCTTTTATTTCATCAATGTTCCATTGTTCATTAAGTAGTGAGTTATTTAGTTTCCAGCTGTTTGCATGTTTTTTGTCTTTACTTTTGTTGTTGAGTTCTACTTTTACTGCATTGTGATCAAATAGTATGCATGGTATAATTTCTATTTTCTTGTATTTGCTGAGGCTTGCTTTGTGCCCTAGGATATGATCTATTTTGGAGAAGGTTCCATGGGCTGCTGAGAAGAATGTATATTGTGTAAAAGTTGGATGAAATGTTCTGTAGACATCAAGTAGGTCCATTTGATCTATTGTATATTTTAGATCTTGGATTTCTTTATTGAGTTTTTGTTTGGATGACCTATCTATTGATGATAATGGTGGGTTAAAGTCTCCCACAACTACTTTGTTAGTGTTAATATATGCTTTTATGTCTTTCAGGGTATGTTTGATGAAATTGGGTGCGTTGACATTGGGTGCATACAGATTGATGATTATTATTTCCTTTTGGTCTATTTCCCCTTTTATTAGTATGGAATGTCCTTCTTTATCTCGTTTGATCAATGTAGGTTTGAAGTCTACTTTGTCAGAGATAAGTATTGCTACTCCTGCCTGTTTTCAGGGGCCATTGGCTTGGTAAATCTTCTTCCAGCCTTTCATCCTAAGCCTATGCTTATTTCTGTCAGTGAGATGGGTCTCCTGTAAGCAACAAATTGTTGGATCTTCCTTTTTAATCCATTTTGTCAAGCGGTTCCTTTTGATGGGTGAATTAAGTCCATTAACATTAAGTGTTAGTACTGATAGGTATGTGGTGATTCCTGTCATTTAGTTGTCTTAGTTGTTTGAAGGTTTGATTGTGTGTACCTAAGTTGAGGTTACTCTCTACTGTCTTGCTTTTTCTTTTCCTGTGGTTTGGTGCTGCCTGTCTTTTCATGGTTAAGTTGGGTTTCACTTTCTGTGTGCAGAATCCCTTGAAGAATCTTTTGTAGTGGTGGCTTTGTGGTCACATATTGTTTTAGTTTCTGCTTATCATGGAAGACTTTTATTGCTCCATCTATTTTGAATAATAGTTTTGCTGGTTAGAGTATCCTGGGGTTGAAGTTATTTTCATTCAGTGCCCGGAAGATCTCACCCCACGATCTTCTTGCTTTTAATGTTTTTGTTGAGAAGTCTGCTGTGATTTTGATGGGTTTACCTTTGTATGTTACTTGTTTTTCTCTCTTACAGCCTTCAATATTCTTTCCTTAGTTTCTGAACTTGTTGTTTTAATGATGATATGTCATGGGGTAGTTCTATTTTGATCTGGTCTGTTTGGTGCCCTGGAGGCCTCTTACATTTGTATGGTAATATCTTTCTCTAGATTTGGGAAATTTTCCGTTATTATTTTGTTGAATATATAACGCATTCCCTTTGCTTGCACCTCTTCTCTTTCTTCGATGCCCATGATTCTAGGTTTGGTCTTTTGATGGAGTCGGTGAGTTCTTGCATTTTCTTTTCACTGGTCTTGAG